TATTGTTAGATGCAAATACTTAGTTCTGTCACATGCAAAATGTTAGGCATGCTGGCAACTGGTGATCAACAATTTTTTTTTTTTTTTTTTTGAAAATGGTCATCAATAATTGAATGGGGCGGCACCGCATTATAGAATATGTCAAATTATTGGTTTATACTTTATGACGACAGCAATTGGACCACTTTCACTAGAGGCGAGGTTACATGGATGACAGCGCTACCACTTTCACGGACAGCTGTATAAATCTTAATTCAGTTCCAAAACTACCCACTTCTTTGTTAACACGTTTTTTTTTATCGAAAATGAAACATCATTCAGGATTTTCTATCGACAAAGAAGAACATCAACTTTTTTGATAGAACCCAATGTAGCTCAGCCCAAGCATAAGCATATGGTTAAAATATTAATTTAATTTTTTTAACTTTTAGATTTTATTGAAATTGTTTCTTAACTTAAAAGAGTATCAAAATTATCTTTAAATTTTAATTTTAAATGTAAAAAAGTTATTTTATTGATAAAAATATCACATAAATTGTTATTTTATTACGAAATTAATTTTTTTTAAATACTAACAATATATAGAACCAAATAGTTATATTTTATTATCATGATGTATTTTTATTTACAAATTAAATTGATAAATAATCAAAATTAAAAAATTAAATTAGTATTTATAATTAAAGTTTAAAAACTAAATTGGTACTTATCTTCAAAATTAATTAAAGACTAAATTGATATTATCTTCAAATTTTGAAAACTATTTTAGTATCAAAAATTAAAATTTAAAGATAATTTTTAGTTGTGGATCCTAAAAATAAGTTTGAAAAGCATTTTGAAGTTCTTAAGAGATAAAATAGAAAAGCGAGGGACCATTTTAAATATTTAACCCATTAGAGTTAACTGTATTGATGAGGGCATATTGGTTTCGGTCCAGTCGGATCCACTTTGAGAATTTCAATGAGTTAATGACCTTATTTGCGCATAATAGAACTGTGAAACCTTAGTTACGGATTTGGTGAAAGCTTGGGATCTTAGTCAATTCTTAAGCCATTAACACTATTGGGGTGTTTGGAAAGCTTAAGAGTGGGTTTGGTTAGAAGCCACTTTCCTTAAAAAAATTTTACGGTAAAAGTAGTTGAAAAAATGTTATAGAAAAAGTTAAAAAATACGATATAAGAAGTTGTTAAATTTTATAATAAAATTTTGTTTGAGTTATTAATTTTGTTATTTTTCGTAAGAAATTAATATAAAGAGAGTTTATTAAAAAAAGTTGTTAAATGGGTAAAAGTCATGGAGAAGATTTTTCCTTTTGAAATAGGTATGAAGAAAATTTTATAAGTTGAGAATTGTGTTAAGAAAAATAAAAGTTAAAAATGTCACTTTTACCTTTTATTTATTATAATTTTAAGATGTGTAAGTATTAAAATATCATTATAAAATTTTAAAATGAAGTATTTGCTTGGAAAGTAAAAGGGTTAAGGCCAGCTATAGTCCCTTTACTTTCAATTTTCATTCATTGTTCTCCCTATGCTTACAATTGTTCAAAGTACTCCCTCTACTCTTCCAAACCCCATTGTTGTCCTCCCTCTACTTTAACTTCCATTACATTTACCTTCCTCCGCAACACAACCTTAACACCATTTATAACTCCCATTAACGGAGGAATTTTTGACCGTTAAGTGCAATAATTTTTTTTGTTGAATTTTGTTTGAGGGCCCACAAAAATCCATATCAACAACCCGTAAAACTCCCTTCTTATTCGCTTTACCAAATGAAAATTCCTAAATCCCTAAATCAAGCCAACCCATCCGAGGTTCTAGACAAATTTATCCTTAAATTGGGTTATATGCATAAAATGATATTATTTGATGTTTCTTTCATGCTCTTCAAGCTAGAAGAATTCAATGGCAATAGCTCCAATTCTAGACAGTCAACCAAAGATTCATAAAAGTAGTAGCAAAAAATTAAAGCAAAAGAAATTGGCAAAGTAAGCAGTGCAATGTAAAACTAAGGTGACTTACGAGCAAAATTATGATCCCTTTGGCTACATCCGTAGAAGTACCTTGAATATTCAAATTTCCAAATATCAATGGGTACGCCACTAATCCCCGACTATAGCATTTGAACAAATGAAACATCAAAATATAGTAGTTAAACACAGCAACACCAAGAAAAGCAAGAATTTTAAACACTGAAATGTAAAAATAATAATAACAATAAATAAATAAAGAATAAATAAATAAATTTCCTTATGGTGAAATTGTTACCAATTTGAAGAAGAAGCTTTGTTTCGCCAAGCGCTAAGAGTACTACTTGAGATCAGACACCACATGGCTAGTGAAGAGCGAAATCAAGCCCAAGCAAAAGATAAGAAGAGCAATAGGCCACAAACAATTGTCTCGGAGATTGGTTTCCTTAGATGCGCCGCTGCAAACCTCCAACACGCTGGCTTGTTGCTACCGTCATTCTGGTGCTGTAACAGCATCGCGCTCGTCTTGGCCACGCCCACCATGGACCTTGTGATAAAAGCAAATTATAATCTACTCCCAAAACAATAGATCAGTGACAAATTCTTAATAATCCTTGTACTAAAAGCACATTATATATAATGATAAAGGAAACACAAAAATTTTCAATTTTAGATGAGGTACAACTAGACATTTCAATTTCGACTAAAAATCTGGTTAAACTTCCTAGACGAAACAGCTTGAAGGAAACATAACTACGAGTTAGTTGGCTTACCGTAATCTCTGGTGCACTATCCTCAAATTGTCAAGTTCAGCTGTATTTCTGGTATTTTATTAAGATCAGCACAAGTTTTCTGCAATTCCTGAGATGCCTATCGAATTTGGGAATTCAACTCTTGTCTGCCTTTGACCAAGCTCTGTGTCTCAAGAAGTGCCTGTTGCAGGTCCTTTTTCACATTCTCATCCGCCCTATTATCCACTTTCTTTTTTGCAATCTTATTTAGCAGAACCCTGACCTGGATATCACTCTCAGTCTGGAACCTTTTAATGTGTGCCTTTATAATCTAAGCTTCCTGCTGAGCATCAGCAATATCCTGCCTCAAGGCAACACTACTAGCTGCCAGTTTCTAATTGTCCAAAGCAAGTAGCTCAATTTCTGCTGCCTAAACAACAATCTTGTTTTCAAAAACTACAGGCCGACGACGCACATCAAAGGCCAATGGGCATTGGGGTGGCCAGGACCAGAAAATGAGCCGTAAAGGAAAGAAAAGTAATTTTGTGGGTTGTTGACGTTGATATTTGTGGGCCCACAAACACATTTTGACAAAAATAAAAAAAAAGTAATAAACTATTGCCCTTAACGGTTGAAAATGCCTCCGTTAATTGAAGTTATAAACTGTGTTAACGTGGTGTTATTAGGGGGGGGAGGAAGGTAAATGTAATGGATAGTTAGAGGGAGGACAACAGTATGGTTTAATTGAAAAAATTTAGAGACGACTTTGAATGATTTGTAAATATAAGGAGGACAATGAACAAAAATTGGAAGTAGGGAGACTATAGCTGTCTTTACCCCAACTTTTAAATTTACCAAAAAAGGTATTTGCCTTTTAAGCTCCATGTACTCCAATATATGAACCACACCCGCTAGGTTTAGAACTAAACTGGTAGTTGTTCTCCCAGACTTCATTCTTTTTCACTAGCCCCTTCGATCCATTAACCCGCTGTTACTACCAAACCACTCCCCATCAAAACCACTCAAGGCTGAGCAAACAGCCCCATCAACCCCGGAACAAACATAAGAAAGGCTGAGAAACCCCATTCGGAGGACGGACCCTGTACACCAGGTAAAACAGCACAATGGCTGACGAAACCCTCTTGACAGATCATAGAGCCTAGAGGACGACCGTGGGGACTGGAGAGACATGTCGAAGTTTTTTTTTTTAATTTTTTTTAGTAAGAAGTTTCTTAATTTGTTTTATGTATAGTGAAACAGCCGAAGACGGAATGGCTTCTCCCAGCGCGGTTATGGAACAGCCTAACATAGAAAGTGATTCAAGGGATACTTGGGTTGCCCAACTTCAAGAAATTGTCGTCCCTCCTTCGGAAGATCCGCATACAGGTTTTATTTAATTAACAATTTATTTATCATCTCCCCTGCTAGCGCGGTTATGGAACAGCCTAACATGGAAAGTGATTCAGGGGATGCTTCGGTTGCCCAGCTTCAAGAAAATACCGTCCCTCCTTCGGAAGATCCACAGACAGGTTTTATTTAATTCACAGTTTATTTATCATCTCCCATACCAGCGCGGTTATGGAACAGCCTAACATGGAAAGTGATTCAGGGGATGCTCCGGTTGGCCAGCTTCAAGAACTTATCATCCCTCTTTCGAAAGATCAGCAGACAGGTTTTATTTAATTTGCAGTTTATTAATCATCACCCCTGCCAACGTGGTTATGGAACAGCCTAACATGGGAAGTGATTCAGGGGATGCTTCAGTTGCGGAGCCTCAAGAAATTGTCGTCCTTCCTTCAGAAGATCCGCAAACAGGTTTTATTTAATTCACAGTTTATTTATCATATCCCCTACCAGTGCGGTTACGAAACAACCTAACATGGAAAGTGATTCAGGGGATGCGTCGGTTGCCCAGCTTCAAGAAATTATCGTCCCTCCTTCGAAAGATTCGGAAGATTCGGAAGATTCGGAAGATTCGGAGACAGGTTTTATTTAATTTACAGTTTATTTATCATCTTCATCTCCCCTAAGCAATAATTATTGGAAAATGATTAATTAATATATTATTTTTGGCTGAATCCCAAAGTACACACCACAAAAAATAAGCAGAGACAGATCCTTCTTAAAAATAATGGATAAATTATCAACGAGGGGTTGGAACAAGTGGTAAGCGACTTGTTCCAGTTTAAGTAAGGTCTCGAGTTCGAGACTTTGTGTATGTAACAGTTTTTGTTGGGAGACTCACCCACTATTTCCAGGTATGCGACGCGGATTGGGTTCGGATTAGTTGGGGCGAAGCCCCGGATACCGGACGAGAAACCAAAAAAGGAAACCAAAAAAAAAAAAAAAAGAAGATAAATTATCTTTTAAATTTTAAATTATCAATTAAAATAGGTAACTTATTACTTAATGTGTAATGATTAATTTGTTACCAACTCTTTTTAATAAAAGTTACCGATATGGTGACATTAAACATTAAATAATAAGTCTTTACTCTTTCTTTTTTTAGTTACCGATTTAAGGAATTGGACATTATTTTTCGTTTTGTAGGAAAAAAGAAAAATTTATTTTTATTTTAATTATAATGATCATATATAAATCACAAGGCAATAATTGGTATACACTGGATCCAACATCCAGGTGTGCACCTCTCACATAAAAAAAAAAATTAGACTGAGTGATGGATGTATTTTTTTTATATGATGTGTGCACACCCAGGTGTTGAATCCGGGTGTGCACACGTCATTTTCCAAATCACAATAATTATTTCTTATTTTATACTCTATATAAACAATTCAATTTCCTTTGCCACTCCATTTTGATAAAATTTTAACATCATTTTGCTAACCAAACAGTAAAAGTTATTTTTCATTAAAATTTTTTTAAAATTAACAAATAAAGAGAATAATTTCTTTTTAAAAAATAATTTTTCATAGAAAAATATTTTCTAACGTGTAGTTATTTTCTACCAACTAAATGTACTCTTGTATTTTTTTGCTACGTTGTTCAATTGCAATATCACTCCATCACTTTCATCTTTGATTGATTGAAAAGACAAGCTATAGCGAAGGTAAACTCCTGACTAGTCTGTTGGTTTAACACAAACCTTTTTAATTAGTTGGTGAGTTTACTTAACTTCTACTTTTAAAATAGAAGT